TCACGAATCGTAGGCTGGGCTGCGATCATGGGTCGAGGCTTGAACAAATACTTTAGGCTCTTCTGGTCCATATATACTTGTATGCTTTCTTGATAAACATAGTGTGCCACATCTTATGGGCGAACACCACGGTTGCTAGCTCCAAGAAGTTTCACAAGTTGTCTAGCAATGGAAGGACTGAAGCTGATACCAACATGTCCTTGAGTTCCATGAAGCTCATTTTGCATGTCGATGTCCAAGTGAATATCTTACCCTTCTTGATGAGTTGGCTTAAAGGTGGTAATATTTTTTAGAAGTTTTTTATAAATCTTATGTAATAACCTGCGAGCCTTATGAAACTTTGGACTTCTATTTATAAATCTTATGTAATAACCTGCCAACCTTATGAAACTTCATACTTCTATCATCGTGTTCAGTTAAGGCATTTTCATTACTACTTCCACTCTAGTCGTGTCTACGGAAATTCCTTCTTTTGTTATGACATGCACAAGGATGGCCACCTCTAAAATCCAAAACTTGCCATCAGAAAACTTGGCGTATAACGGCTGGTTTTGCAATCTTGTCAATTCCATTAGAGTAGATAAGGATATCAACTATGAATATAATTACAAATGTGTTAAGAAAGTTCTTGAATACGACATTAGTTAGTCTAGAGGACAACCGTGAATTTGTAGTGATCATACCTTATTCTGAAGGCAATTTTAGATATGTCTTTCTCTTTGATTCTTAGTTGGTGATATACTGACCTTCATCTATCTTGGAGAATATTGAAGCCCCTTAGATGCTTGAAAAATATATGGAAATTAAAAAAAGTATGCTTGAAACCTAGTCTCCGTTATTGCTCTCTAAAATTTTGAATTAAAAAAAGTAAAAGTATAATATGGAAATTAATTTTCTATTATGGTCGTTCGGGTCCTTCACCTAGTCTAATTTTCATAATGTCTCATGACCTAGCTCAACGGTAGCAAATGGGGTTCGGTTCAACGTTTTGAAGGGTTGGTTCGGCCTATTCGTGATCCTCGGGAACGGTTCAAGTTATTTTTAATTATTAATGTAATAATTTAGTTAATTGCTTGCTTTAAAATTCCAAGACTAATCCCCTTTAGTGTGTTTAATTAATTATGTATTGTGAATGTATGTTTTAACTAAATAGAAAATGTATATACATAAAGTATGCCATATAGATTTAAAATCCCACCATAGGCTAAGCATGTTTCATGCATTACAAGTATGTTATAAGTGTTATAATGTGTAGTATGCATGTTTAAGGATCCATGAGTGACAGATATAAATTGTTATATTATTGCATGGAATGGATGATTATATAATTGTTATATAAAGCATGTTAGATGCATGTTATAGGTTATTTTCATCGTCATAAAACGAGTTAGACGTTAAAATCTATAACAAAGATAAATGCATGCTCACTTAAGGTTAACAACCAAGCACGATCGATTTTAATAGTTAAAATAGGTCGATATCTTGTAAAACTGCGGTTACAAGAAGGCTCACCTGGCACGATCTTGTCTAAGGCTGGAGGTACTTAAGTTGATGGTTTATGGAACACCTGCTACCTGGAGATCGGGCCAGTACTTGAGCTTAGTTAGTCCAGTTTTATGAGCATGCGTGAGTGATGTAAGTATTTTTTTTTAAATGAAAAATCACCTAGACATCATAGTTAAAAATCTAGTATAAATGTTATACTTGAAAAAATCACTTAGACTTAGGTTATATTTAATTAGCCGGAATATACCTAAGTAATAAGTATACCCAACCGTCTAAAATACCTAGTGGGAGGAAAAAGGTATATGAGATACATCGTGTGGAAGGTATTTGCATGAGTCAATAACAAGGTGAATAGAGAAAGTATTTATAGTAAGTGGAAGAAGGAAGTATATCAACACATCCTATGGCCTCCACCACTATGTTGCACCGTGAGAGTCCCATGTTCTGCCTGCATGTTGCCCAAGAGAAGCTACCCATTCGGAGGGTCGTAACATGGGAGTCGGAAGTAACGCAAACTCCAGAAACCTACAGTTATGCGAACTACTGCCCATGTGATCAACAAGTTTCCCCAACCAAAGCTCGGATTCATCTTACCATTTGAGATACTAAGGGACATGAAACCTACAGTTAGTTACTTCGGAGTATTTGGTTGTGTTTGCTATGTATTTGTGCCTGACCATCTAGGTAGCAAGTTTGACAAGAAAGCAGTCAAGTGTATATTTGTTGGATACGAAAATCAAAGGAAAGGATGGAAGTGCTGTGATATAACAAGTAGAAAATACGATACATCAAGAGATGTAGTTTTCGATGAAGCATTTTCATGGTGGTCCTCGGAGAAGAAAGTCATACCATATTCAAAGATCGAAGAAATTCTACAACAGATGATGGGGGAGCAAACTACACAAATTCAATCAAATGTTGATGCGCCTGAAGATCCAAGAGACATTGATATTGACAAGCAAGAGCTGACTCAATCAAGCGAATATGATAAAAATGAAACGACACATCAACAACTTAGGCGATCAAATGGAATCCGAAGACCAAATCTTAAGTATGCAAATGCAGATATGGTAGAAGATAGAGCTTGCGAACCAGAGACATATGAAGAGGCATCATAAAACTAAGTTTGGCAGAAGTAATGAAAGAAGGAACTATAGCCCTGGAGTAGAATCAAACTTGGAAACTAGTGCCAAGACTAGGAGATGTCAAACCCATCTCTTGCAAGTGGGTCTACAAAATAAAACATCGACTGGATGGATCAATCGAGAGATACAAGGCTCGACTCGTAGCTCGAGGATTTTCTCAACAATATGGACGGGACTATGATGAAACATTAAGTCCAGTGGCAAAGATTACTAGCGTACGAGTCCTGCTAGCACTCGCAGCAAGTGAAGATTAGAAACAGTAGCAAATAAAGGCAAAGAGTTGAACGATGAAACGACATAGCGATGAAGGTGCTACCGACATTGGTTTTCAACTTTAACCGTTGGATATATAATAAATTATTCATTAATTAATTGAAATCTACGGACCCTTGAGTCTTGTTAAACATATCCAAATAGCAGCTCAATCCAACGATTGGATGTGAATATACGATTGATTTTCTTCTGCGGGATGGTTCTGCAACCAAATCTGGTTGCAGATTTTCTTTAATTACAATTTTGTAATTAAGTGGAACTTCAGAGGTATTTTGGTAATTTGGAACTCCCTTCTTTCTTGTTCCGTGCTACGAGTCTGTCAAGATACAAATCTGGTTGCCGTGTCTGTCAAGATAATGTCTCTTACTGTCTTAACTTTAGGTGTGATATCCTTTATATATGGAGTCGTAGCTGAGAACAAGAAGGTAAGCTTCGGTTCATAAATTGTGCATTTGAATAGTTCTTTCTTGGACTTCTTGGATTCATTACAGACTTGAAATTTGAATTTAATATATCATATAATTTGGAACTCCCTTCTTTCTTGTTGTGATTGCTAGGCAACCTGCATCTAGAACTCCCATCCCAGGCAAAGGCACTGTTATCTGTCAGTATCCAGCGGACCCAACTGTGGCCCTGGGATATCTCTCCGTTGGGTTTCTTCTTGCTTCTTCAATTGCAGGATACCTCTCTTTGTTCTATCCTTACCAAGGAAAACCCGTTCCTCGAGGTTCCATGTTTAAGAGCAGCACTTCATCTATCTTCTTCAACATTGCCCTGTAATTTCTCTTTTCAAATCACATCCTTTACTCTTAACTGTTACCTAAAAGTGATTTGGAAACGTTATCAATCAAGCTACCTCTGTGTTTCCAGGTTCACAACTGGGTTGACTATAACTTTGCTCGTTTGGCCTACAATCACCGAGAAAATTCACTTGACTCGCAATGTTCATCAGAATCTCGAGACAGCATGCCCGACTGCTAAGACTGGTCTTCTGGGTGGTGGTGCATTTCTATCCCTGGATTCTTCCCTCTTCTGGTTGGTTGCCCTGATGTGGGCTGGAAATGCTCGAGAGGACTACTTTGATGAAATAGAGGAAAACGGAGACAGTGTTGAGGTTCTATACGTGATATATGCTTGATATGTGTGAAATGTTTACGGAACAATGTGACTATGGTGTGCGTATAAAACGATATGACTAAGATATCTTTATGAAATGATATGACTGGGATATGTTTTTGAAATAATATGACTGGGATATATTTATGAAACGATGTGATAAGAATCTGTTTATGAAATGACATGACTATAATACGTTTATGAAATGATATGACTATGATATGTTTATGAAATAATATGATTGGGATATATTTATGAAACGATGTGATAAGAATCTGTTTATGAAATGATATGACTGTGATGTGTTTACAAAAACAATATGACTATGATATGTTTACGAGATGATAATTCCATGATATGTTAGTGATACAACGTGACTATGAGATGATACGTGAATGTTATGACACGTGATATGATGATGTACTAATGATATGATAAATGTTATGGTATATCACGTATTGCGATATAGTACATGATATGTTGATGACATGATGTATGTATGATATGACATAATATGACATGTTGCACGATATGAATGATATTCGACAAAAATGTGTGGACATAATGCACAACCCCAATTTATGTAAGGAAACTATAATAAAAATTATATGATATGAATGAAAAATGGAAGGGGTTGTCTTTCATGATAATGAATAAAAATGTTGGAATCTCATGCATCATTGTATGTTAATGCATCCAGGAATATCCCTCTTTTACGATGATACGAACACGTACATGACGAGGCAGAAAAATGATCATTATGTTTATTATAATACTACGACAGTCGCTATGTCTGACGGTGTCCGACATCAACAGCTCTAGAGAATACTCGTCTAACCATGAAAGGGGCCTAGGAGGTGTGCGAACCGACTGGTGGGTTCATACTCGCAGGTGTGGATCATTTGTAGAACAGTAAATACACTTCCCATTAACTCGTTTAGTATAGACACATAAGGAATATAGACTTTTACAACATGTCCTACACATGATTGTATGTGTTTGCATCTAACCCCAAGGTCACTTACTCAGTATTGCTTATAATACTCAAGTCACGTGCTACTGCTATTTTAGGTAAAGACAAGACACCTCTATACAACTAACAACTACATAGCCGTTGAGACCATGAAACATGCAAAGGGTAGTAGTATTTATTTTCTTAGAGATAGATTAGAATAGAGTGTTTTTAACTATAATGCTAATTTATTTTATTTAATATTTTGTTGTGTCGTTTTAAAGATGTTTTTGAACACGTAACTCTATTGCAGTGTTTTAAGATGAAGTCTAAATTTTATGATAAAGTTTAAACGCTTATTTCTTCACAAAATGATTAAGTTATGATTACGATAGTGACTCTAGGTAAGTAAAAATCTACGGTCGTTACAGTATTCTTGTTTGAATGGAAGGATATGCTCCTTGTATTAGAAATTTATGTCAGATGGGTAAAAATTAAGTTATAAAGTTGAGAATATATGAAGTTCTATAAACCATTAAGTATTAAATAATTCTTGGCTTTTGAACTTAAAGTATTAAACTTCTAATTTAACATTCAAACTACAATTATTTTTTTTATAAATCGCCATAGAAGTTGAATATCGATAATAACTTTTTTTTTATGTTGTATATTATACTTTCAATGGTTGATTTTTTTTTTTTTTTTTAAACCTATCAATTATATAAATGTAGATATATATATATATATATAAAGAAGGCGTGGTTGAAAATTTTGCATCATGCAACACCCTTATTACCTAAATCATTGGCCTTCGACTTGCAATAGATCGTTAGAGGTTCTCCTTCTTTTTAATTAAGAATCGTCACTTTCTAAGGTGACCCTGGATATTGGAGAGATAAACAAGTGAAGACATTGAAAGTTGATGCAAAATTAAACAACAAATCAAACAAAGACAATTTTGACATTCATTTTTTTTTGTGTTTAGAATCTGTAACGACCGTAGATTCCTATTTAACCTAAAGTTGTTACTGTATACCTATCATAAATATTTATGTGAAAAATACTTCATTCAAAACTTTATCATAAAATGTTGTCATAGACTTACCTGTATTCTAGAAGGTCCTTAAAATAAAATACCAAGAAGTGAAACACTAACCTATATGCTACAAAATTAAATGCATACTAACCTATACTAACGTATAGTCTCGAAATTTAAATTTTGCAAACCCCCTATGCATGTGTCATGGTCTCCTAGGTTGCGATGTCACCATCCGCCGTACAGGGGAGTCTTGCCTTTACCTAGAAAAATAAGAGTAGCATATGACTTGAGGTTAGATGCAAGCACATACAATCATGAGTGGGACTTATCATATCAGTCTATATTTCTTAGGCAGCTATCCTAAGCGGGTTAATTTGATGTGTATTTACTATTTTACATACGGTCTACACGTACGAGTATGGACTCACCAGTTGGTTCGCACACCTCTTGGGCCCCTTTCTTGTCAGACGAGCATTATCTAGGAGCTGTTGATGTAAGACACCCGTTAGGAATATAGAATTTCGTAGCATTATAACAAATATAATGATAGTTTTCTTGCCTTGTAGTGTATGCATTCATACCATCGTAAAAGATGAAGGGGTATCCCCGATGCATGAACACACAATGATACATGAGGTATAACGACCCTAAATTTCCATTTATCTCGAGTTGTTACCGTCATCATCATCTAAACTCGTATGCAAAATTAAACATTTAAAAACTTCATCATAAAACATAACCTTCATCTTTAAACACAGTCATGGACTTACGTTTTTTGAAAACACCTTTAAAATGACACGATAAAAGACTAAAGAAAATAAATAAACCTTTATATTAATAACATTCTATTCTAGCCTAAGTCTAAGAAAAATAAATGCGACTACCCTATGCATTTGTCATGGTCTCAAGTTGCGATGTCATCGCCAGCCGTACAGGGACACCTTGCCTTTACTCGAAAAAAAAGTAGCTCATGGCTTGAGTATTTTAAGAAATACTCAGTAAATGACCCACTATTGGGGTCAGGGAAAGCAAACACATGTAAGTCATGATCTAGGGACTTATCATTTAAAAACCATCATAGGGATGGCCTCAAGTCTCGAATAAATTGGATGGATCCACACGTGCGAGTGTGAATCCTCAGGGTTGTGTCTTTAAATTTTTTTTGTTACAATGCATCGTGACATTTAATACAAAACATCGTCATATTAAGTCATTTCATTATCATACGTGTCGCATCATCTTATTATTATGCATCATCAACATCATGTCAACATCATGTACATCATAACATCATCACATCATTATCTAACGTCATCAAGTCATCATATAAAATCATTACATCATCATATAATGTCATCATGTCATCACATGACATTATCACATCATTATATAACATCAACACGTGATCATATAACATAATCGCATCATTATCTAACATCATCAAGTCATCATACAACATCAACACATCATCATCTAACGTCATCACGCCATCATATGCCATCATCACATCATCATATAACATAAAGCATAAATGACACTTGTACGAGCCACCGAACACTTGTGGTCATACATAAGACAAGTCTTCCGACCGAGCTGATAGTAAGGTCACTTACTTGATTAGTTTAAAATGTTGTCACGAATTTATCCTTCATGAAAGTTCGATTCTGCCCTTTGAAATTAAAGTTAACCTATGTGAGCTCATACATCAGTTTTAACTTCCAACTTCTACAAAATTATTTTTCTAATGTACATTGGTCTATGGGTTAAACTTCATGCTAACATTAGAGTCTTTGCATGAATAGACTCGTAAAATATTTATTAAGGTTTTTTATAATATTATTTTTATGTAATCCAAAACTCTTTAACATTTATTAGATATTTTCTTTTCTCTTACGGGTTCCTTTTTGTCCTTTTAATTATGTTCACAATCCTCACCTTTTTTTTTAATCTCGGTTTCTTTCTTTTTTTTTTTTTAATCTACTCTTACTTTTTCTCTTAAAAGGGCTAGATTGATTTCCTTTTCTTTAAACTAGGTTCACAATTATCTTTCGTAAATTTTAATCTATTTTTGAATTACACATACTATTTGATAGACAGTTTAATCAATTCCATATCTCCCATTTTTCACTTTGGTGTATTTTCTTTGTTTTTTTTCTTTTACTTCTTCACCCATTCTTCCTTTTTCTCCTCTCTATTCTGTATTTACTTTGTCAAATTTTCCCTTTTTCTCTCCGGTTAATTTTCCACCAAATCTTCCTTATTATGTATTTTCTTTGCTAAACTTTTCCTTTTCCTATCTGTGTTTTTTGTTTTGCCCATGTTGGGGTTAACATTTATTCCCAATCTTTAATCTTTTATTATGTGTAGGGAGTAAAATGGATTCTAATTTTAGGTAAGATATCTAAAACTTAAATAATTGCAAAAGCTAAAAGATAAAGAGATATAACTTTCCATGTGTATATCGGAGTTGTGCATTATGTCAACTCATCACATTGCTTGTCAATCATATCATATCATATCATATCATATATCTTATCATGTCAAACATATTTCATATCATAAACT